CCCCGCCGTCCCGCTCCCTTCCGCTCCGCCCCCCCCTCCTCTCCTACTTCTCTTGGCTCCCGGCTGCCCGTTCTGCGGTTCTTGGTGCTGGGCTGGGGCCTCCTTAGACGCCCGCACTCTCCCCTCACCCGCGAGACCTTCTTAATTGCCGTCCCTGAACACCCCGTCGGGGATTCCATTCCCTGCTTCGGGCTGTGTACTCGCGCTGCGTCGTCTAGCTTCCTGCCCGCGTCACTGCTTGTGTCCGGGACCCAGAAACTGAAGCGCCCAAACTGCAAGACCTCTGTCTGGTCCCCCTGCGGCGCTTTAATCGCGCTGTCAGCTCCCCGACCTCACTCTCTCTTTCTCCCCTAGCCTGCCCTCCCGTCCCTGGCCAGCCCATCTCCTGGGCCTCTGCATTGGCTGTCCTGGCCTGCCCTCTGCTCCCTCTCCCCGTTCATCCCTGGAGGACACCCAGATGGCGCCTGAGCCCCAGTGAAGGGCACTGCCATCCATCCTTCCACCCCAAGATCTGAGCCTGGGGCTGTCCTCGTTCTCCCTCACCGTCACCATCAGTCCGTGACCAGGCCTGCACATCTTCATCTTCTAAAGCTTTGTTTCTGTTCACTTCTCACCGCCACCAAGGCCTCGACGACGTCCCAGAGTACTCCTGCCTCCTCCCTGGACTCCTAGGAGGGTGTCTTTAAGAGGCCTCTCTGCTTCCTTCCTTGGCAGCCAGAAGGATGCTTAAATCTTCAATCAGGATCACCTCCATTTCCCTTACCCCCCAAATCTTGGGAGTTTCCCATCTTGCTCAGAGTCTTGGTAAAGAGCCTAAAACCATAATCTCTTGCTGTCCTCTGCTCCTTGTCTCTCCCACTCACAGACTTTCTTACAGTTTCTTGAACAAGCCATGCTCCCTCCTACCACGGGGCCTTTGTACATGCTGACCCTGCTACCTGGAATGCTCTTCTCCATCTTGTTATGTGATGAACTCTTTTTTATTCTGTGGTCATACTGTGGTTTCACTTCCTCAAAGAAGACTTTGCTGATCTCTCCCACCAGGTAAGAGGTATTCATTTGCTCATTTATTTATTAAACAGCAGTGCTAGAAAGATTTCATTTGCAGGATGCAAGGGAGCCTCAACTTATCTGCGGGGAGTGAGTGAACTAAATGTGTCCACAGATCCCTGAATAAAATAATTCCTGGTAATAGATGTCTGGCTGGTTATGGCTGATTCAGAGGGTTGCCAGGAGCCTGTGTAGAAGAAAGAACTAACAAAGGGCCAGGAGGAGGAGACAGATTGTGGAGAACCAGGCCCTGGTGTTTGGATCTTACTCTAGATTGCCTGGAAAGAGGCCAGGTGAAGGTTAGAACAGAGGACAACCTGATATCGATCAGTGTTAATTAAATCACAGTTCAAAACTGTAACTCATTATTAAGAAGAAAACACCCCAATAACTTAAATGGGCCAAAGTTTTGAACAGATAATCCAACAAAGATATACGATGTCCAGTAAGCACAGGAAAAGATATTCAATATCATCAGACGTCTAGGAAGGCAAATTAAAGCCACAATGAGATACAATTTTATACCTATTAAAATGGCTTCGTAAAAGGGGATGCTACTATTGCAGTGCTGGGGAGGCAACGTGGAGCAGCTGGAACTCTCCTACACCCCTGATGGGGGTGGAAACGATTACCTCCACGTCGGAAGACAGTTTGACAGTTTCCTAAAATGTTAAACAGAGGCCAACCGTATGACTCAGGCATTTTACTTGTAGGTATTTACCCAACGTCAGTGCAAAGGCTTGGACGTGAATGTTCACAGCAGCTGTCTTTTTCGTAGCTCAAACTGCACACCGCCTGGTGGTTCATTATAGCAGAGAGAATAAACTGTGGGGTATGCATACACTGGAATACTTCTCAGCGAGAAAAAAGAATAAATCATTTTTTAAAAATATTTATTTATTTGGAGAGAGACAGAGACAGCAGAGGGGCAGAGAGGGAGGGAGAGAGCAAGAATCTCAAGCAGGCTCAGTGCTGCCCACGAGGAGTCAGCTGCCAGCCAGGAGCCTAATGCAGTGTTCAAACCCACGAAGCCTCCAGATCATGACCTATGCTAAAACTAGTAAGAGACTCTAAAGTGACTGAGCCACCCAAGCGCCCCAGAAGGAAGAAATCATTGACAAATGCAACAATATAGACGCATTTTGCAGATACTATGTTGAATGAAGGAAGCCAGGCTCAAAAGGGACATATTGCATGACTACATTTTTATGAATTTCTAGAACAGGTGAAACTAAGCTGTTGTGACGGAAGTCACATCAGTAGGGGCAGGAGGAAGCTTTCTGGAGTGCTGGAAGTGTTTTTTAATTTGACTAGGGTGGTGACTACACAGGAACATACACTCGTCAAAGCATATCAAATGCACTTAAAATGGTTGCATTTTATGTCATGTAATTCAGATCTCACTTTACTGAAAGGGAACTCATACTCACATAAAATGTGGCGACTCACCCGGGTGGCTGAGAGAGTCCAGGGAGAGGGCAAGTAGAACCCAAGGGGTGCCCCTGCTTGAGGTGACTGGATGCGTGTGACCACTGTGCCTCCCACCATGGGCTGTGAGCTCCATGGGATCCAGTCATATAGCCCAGCTCAGAACCTATCACATGGGATGGCAGCAGGAAATGTCTGCTCTGGAATGAAGGAGGGTGGCTCTCTCTATTCCTTTTACATTCCTGTGTAAGCAATATTTTCTGTTCTCCTACACTGATTTATTTTAGTCTTTGGGTTATAATTAAATACTATCATGCTTAATTTTGTTGGTTAAATTGTTTCATCTTTGGCCTTTATTAGCTCCTTCAGGTGGGTTCCTGTGTACCCATCCCTCATCTTTTTTCCCTCATTTGCTTATTTTCTGACTCTATAAAGTGCTTCAGGGTCATATTGTATTCTCCCCATTTCAGCCCTAGAGTCAGGGTTCCTTCAGGAAACTCAGGTTCTTTTATTGGAGAATGGTATTTAGAAACAAAACCCCCTGGGCAGTGTTGATTTGCATTTCTCTAGTTATGAGTGGATCAAGGGTTTTTTTTGTTTTGTTTTGTTTTTGCATATGTAACAGCCAGTTGCTTTTGCTTTTCGAGAACTGCTTTTCACATCCTTTGTATGTTTTTCTATTAATTGTCTGTTTAAAAAAATTGATGCATAAGAACGCCTATATTCAGGAGATTATAAAAGGAGATTTCCTTTTTCTGAAATGTGAGTTATGAATAGTTTTTCCTGGTTTGTCATTTGCCTTTTACTTGGCACTTTTGCCATACAGATTTTTCCTTCTAGAACCTGGTGTTTTTTCCCTTTAATCTAGGAATGTGATGACTGATAATAGCAGTTTTTTCTTTTTTCTCAATTTTTTTTTAATTTTCATTTTTTGAGAGAGATGAGAGCACTCGAGCAGGCCCTGTGTGAGTGTGCAGGAGGGGGGAGGGGTGGTGGTGGGGAGGAGTGTTAGTGGGGAGGGGCAAAAGGAGAGGGAGGGAAATCTCAAGCAGGCTCCGTGCCTAGCACGGAGCCTGACGGTGGGCTTGATCTCGTGACTCTGAGATCATGGCCTGAGCCAAAATCAAGAGTGGGACGCTTAACCGACTGAGCCACCCAAGTGCTCCAAGAGCAGTTTTCCTGACTCACCATCCTTACATTTGTGGGATGTACCTTTAATACCTGTAGTGTTTTGCTCTTTTGATAAACCTCTGGATTCATTTTGCTAGTATTTTATTTGGGATTTTTGCCTTTATTTTCATTAATAGAATTGACCGCTAGTTTTTATTTCATTATATTTTATTTCTTGTGTGTTGTGTTGTGCTTTATTTAGATCTTTCTTTTTTCCTAATGAAGGCATTTAAAGCTATAAATCTTTCTTTGAGGACCACTTAGGACACATCCCCAAAATATTGCTCTAATTTTTATTCACTTCTAATTAGCTTGTAGGTTTCATTTTAATTTCCTCTTTAATCCAAGAATAATTTAAAAAATTTTTTTTTCAACTTTTTATTTATTTTTGGGACAGAGAGAGACAGAACATGAACGGGGGAGGGGCAGAGAGAGAGGGAGACACAGAATCGGAAACAGGCTCCAGGCTCTGAGCCATCAGCCCAGAGCCCGACGCGGGGCTCGAACTCACGGACCGCGAGATCGTGACCTAGCTGAAGTCGGACGCTTAACCGACTGCGCCACCCAGGCGCCCCTGTCCAAGAATAATTTAAAAGGGTATTTTAAAGTTTTTAGTTAGAGAAATGTGAGACTTTTCTGGTGAATATCTAATTTTATTATGTATTTTATTTAGAGAATAGGTCTATATGTTCTCCTTTTTTGGAACTTGTTGAGATTTTGTGTCCTGATAGTCAAGTTTGGTAAATGTTCCATGTGTGTTTAAAAAGATTGAATACTCTCTCCTAGTTGGGTACAAAACTTACCTATGTATCTACTATGTATCTTTTTAATGATGTAATTGAAACTCTCTGTATACTTACCTTTCTTTTGCTTGATGTATTGATTTACTGAAACAGATATATTAAAGCTCCTCACTAAAGTTTTCCATGTATTACTTTTCTTTGGATTTCTAATGTTTTCTTGTTTTTGTTTTTAAGTTATAATGTTGGATGAACAGGGGTTAACATATGTTTTGTTCAGTAGGATAGCAATTAAGAGCATAAGCCAAGTGTTTAAATCCCGGTTGTATGACTTTCTTCTCTGTCCTCAGTTTCTCCAT